TGAAAGCGCACTTTTTTTCCTTTGCCAGTTAAGAGTTTGTTGTTTCAGTGTTTCACAATTTCAGAAAACTGGAGAAAGCTACTATACTATTAGAGAGAAAAGATGTCGTCTTGCTGCATTTGTTGCAACACTTGTTGTTGGAAAAAATCTTTTGTTTTAAGCTAAACTTTGCTAATTTTGCTAAAGTATAGGCACTGTAGCTATAAGAGTTATGGGATAATGGTACGCAAAACACAAGCAAAGGAGAGTCAGAAAGCCTGCAGCTATCTTGGTAAGGTCAGGAACACAGTGAGGTCTGACTTAGTAAAGGTAGTAAAGATATGCATGGACTTTTCTTATCTATTTCTTAAAAGTTACAAATTCCTACTTTTACAACTGCCTGTTAGTAGCTTTGTATAATGTCTGCATGTCAGAGTATTGCATGGCATAGCAAACACATTAAAACCAGCCCTTTCTTCATGGTTAGACTCTGCACCCATGCACACTTACCTTGTTCCCAGCTCAAGCCCGTAGCACCTCCACCACCTATATTTAAACCTTTGTTTCTTCCCTTCCTTTGGCTACTTGTTTCTTTCTTTTGGCCCTTTTGTCATTTCCTGTCTGACTGCAGTGATAAACTACTTTGTTCCTCACACAAAAAGTACAGCACTAAGAAGCGCTTACGACTGTCCTTTAAGGTTAACAAAAGTTTCAGTAAGCATTCTAAAGAAGTCACATTCGGTAAGCAATCAGGCTTGAGGCGGGCATAAATCCTCTGGGCCCAGTCGCGGCATTACAAATACCCGCAGCGCCTGTATGTGCTGATGACTACAAAATTGAAAAAGAAAGGCCCTAATAATTCTGAGGCAAGTTTCCCTCTGCAGTAGGTATTGATTATTTGTGTGTGGTGAGAGATTTGGAAAATTCAATTAAAGGAGTTGTGCAAAGGATTCATAAATTCAGCCCCTCCAACCCGTATCGAGACACGGTTATGTTCTAAATCAATGCTGCACTTCACAATATATTTTCTTAGCCACATAAAAATAAATAACATTTAAACAGTTCTGCTTACTGCAGAAACAAATTTTATTTTCTCCCAAGATTTTCAGTAACAGTCAGGTACTGACTTGTGCACATCTTCGGTGTGGTGACGTATTTTTATTGCACTTTTCCCCATAAGGAAGTCCTATATAATATGAATTTTGAGATGACAAAATGAGGGGGAAAGGGTGCAGCTCAGCAGTGTAAAAATTGATCAGACCGTAGATGGGGCCACACCGGGTGGGGGGTAGGGGGAGGGGAAAGATTTGTATGTCGGCAGTAATGGGCTGTATTAAAAAGAAGATTCCTTAAGATGTCATAAAAGCGATGGGGGCTGTGTCGCAGGTCCAGCGGCTCCCAAGCTGTGGCACATCAGTCAGCTCATGGACAGATGCCACCTACCCACCAGGAGTTTTATGCTTTCTGATTGACCACATGCTTGCAATCAAAGAGGGAGAGTTGTATATTAGACTGTTTTGGCCCAACCGAAGCCGGTGGTCTTCGATCGACACCTTGGATTGCAGAGTATGCAATTTTATCCGATGCGATTCCTGATTTAGTAAGTGCCATTGCCATTTTATCTCAGGAAGCAAAAAGCAAAAATACACTTCCATGCTTCTGTGAAATGTATAAAGGCCGAGCAAGCGGTCCTTTTCATCATCATCATAGATGAGTATAATGCTCAGGGGATGGTGAGTTACCATCAATTAGCGACTTCCAGTTATGGTTTTCTTGAGGTTATTTTTGTGTTTGCTCCTTCAGATCTTCACACCAGTGGTATAGCCTCAGTTACAGCTCAGATTACTGAAAAATTGGCATCTAATTGTAAACTTTTACCCGTCTGTAAATGTTTGATTTCAGATTTAATCACTTCTCCTTTCAGTTTTATGACAAGATGAGAGATAGCTGATTTCCTAAAAATGTAGGAGCAATGTCCCAGCATACACTAATCCCCCTTCAACTCTAATTTTGGATGTAATGTAAAAACTGACAGAACCACGGCCATGTGTACATCTTGGTTTGTTAACCGATAGCATTGGGAATGCAAAACACACCACCTGGTAAACTCTCTTCTTTGTGAACATTCAGTTTTGACAGCGACTGTTACATTGTGTGCAATATCACTGAGTGCCAGAGGGGTTACAATCATGTTTTCCTCTCCCATACTCCCCAGGTTTTTGTTAGCGAGGCATCTTGGCTGTTGACAGCTAATGGAATTGCTCTTCACCTCTTGTGCGTATGATCCCACGGAGATAAGGCAGGAGATGAATGTGGAATCTGCACTGTCAGTTGTGTGGCTGAGATGTCTTGGAAGCTGTCATTCATTTGTGGGAGAGTGTCTGGAACGGTAGGAGCGAATCCTTTGACATGTTAGACCACCACCACCACCCCAAACCCCCACCCCGTCTCTCCTCCGGAGGCTCTGTCTGGCAGCTGACAAATGTTGATCCTACATTAACCACAATGCTGCAACGCTGTGCAAATAATGTTCTTCAGATGGCAACCCTCATCCCCTTTATGGGTAAAACTATGTATGCAATCCTCCACACCTGCGCACTTTAACACCTTTGAAAAGTAAATGTGGTGAGGGGGGGTGGAGGGTGGAGGAGGGCAAACTGTCTTACACAGCACAGTAGTCTCTTTATTTGGCAGTGCCTGGGAAGGCCGAGGCCTCTCGCTGCCCGAGCCGACCTAAGCAACAGCTGGTGCTCGCAGCAACATTTCCTATTTCTGCCTAAGGTGGATCGTGTAACTCTCACTTTATCACCCATAGAGGCCACGTGAAGGACAAAGCCAGCACGCCCATAAACAAAACTAATGTTTTCATACAAGCCCCTTTGGAGATTGGTAGAAGGATCTGTGGTGCTTTGAATACCCCCCCACCAGTCCTGACACATTACAAACAATCTCATACCTGTACTATTTCTCACTGAAGGTGGGGGACTTGAAACTGTGAGCTCCTCTTTTGACAAGGTTAAAAAATTGATGTTGGATCTAAAGGGAGATATTTTTTTAAATTTCACAACACAAAGCTTGACATCTATTGCTTGCCACACTAAAAGTCAAAGCCACAGTAAAAGGGTAAAGAGTATTCTGGATGCGTATTCAATAACATGATGATAGAGCCTTATTTTTTACTGTGGCTTGAAAATACTTACTACTGTGTATTTGAACTTTTTGAAACGCTGGGAGAACATGAACTTAAATCCCGTCTCACAGTCTGAAATTGTCGAATGCGATATTTGTGCGTGACTTTACAAGCGCAAACTAAATCTGTCTCAAAGGAGTTGCAAGAGTCGCACAAGACAGCCAGTTGATGCAGTGAGAGTTATATTTCATTATTACCGCTTGTTACTGGGAATACGATCACCCATAGTGCAGTGTGTTTACAAGAGCAAATCTGCGAATGATAGATGGCTGGATCTCCAAAACAGAAAGTACTGTGTGGTCTTCTCGGCATGCAGCGGTCAGTACTGCTGGACTGGACCATGAAACAATGTGAGAAGATGTATTTCATTTTACAGCATGTGGACAGCTCTGTGTGTGTCATCTACCTGGGTAAGACTGCAATATCGAGCTGGGACATTTTAGGTCCTGGCATGTATGACAGTGGCCCCTCTCAGCTCGTTACACTGCAAAATCTGTAAAGGAATCGTCTGAGGAACGTATCAAAGAAGCTCAGAGTGCTGCTTTGGCCTCTGCTTCTCCTATATCACAGTCCAAGTGAACATCTACGGGATGATCTGTAAAAGAAAGTGCAACCCAAGAAGGCAACGCTTCACAACTTTCAGTAATTAAAATATCTGGATAACCACAGGACACCCAAAGACAATTTGTGGAGACTTTCCGGGCTAGAGCTCTTTAAGCATGAGGTGGACAATATTCAGCAGATGGTTTTAGTGTTGTCTTTTTTTCTACAAAGAAGCAAGAATTTTAGGTTTAGCTTTTTGCTTGGTAAATGAAGTATCAGTTATCACAACAAAATGAAGTCGCTCTTTTTGATTAAACTCAATTCATCTTAATAAATGAAACTGAAACGGTTCTGAATGAGCCGTTTTCTTGAAATGTATTTTACGGTTTTATCTTACTTACAATTCTGTTTATCTGTTATAATATTAACTTATTTATCCAATATTCTTCATATCTACTTTGCCAGACTCCATCAATACCAGAATACTTCTTTTGTGCCAAGCTTTTATTTGGTTTTCTTTGTCTTGTTGTTATTGTGATTGTTTGAATATTTGTTTCTTTGTTTCTTATTCTTTGGGCTTTGGAGGAAAGAAGAATGATTTTTTTTTTAAATAATTAAAAAAAAATAAGCAAATGTTATAAAAAAGAGCAAGCCAACACCTTTCACACCACCACTAATTGGCCCCTTGTGTTCACGCCCCATTGTAGTAACTATTAACTCAGATCTTGGGCTCCTATTTGTCCCTGCAGCCCTTTATTGGCCGCCAGCCCGGAGCCTCAGATGCACAGGCAACCCTGGCTGACCTGATAACATTTATAGTTGTAATGGATTTTTTTATGCCCGTCATTAACTAGCAGAGAGATTGGATATAGAAATTGCTTGTACCTTTTTCTGTGGTATTTCAACTTTATAGCATTATGTTCAGATATGTCACCTTCCATCATCCTTATTTTAAGGCCTCTCCCGTCACTGGTTTTGTTTTAAATGTACGGGTCTTTTGTGCAGGACACTTGTAGTATCAAGGGCTCGTAATGAATATTTAATGATGTTGAGTAAAGGCTCGGAAAGATATAATTTCTGTCCAATAATTGGTTCTCTCTCTGCCAGACCTTTAGGGGTGATTTAGCACGCAACATGCTTAATGTAGACAGTTTATACGAAGCTGCTTTGAATCAAGTCATTGAACAATGTGGCAATAAAGCGGATGTTCATTTTTAGGATGCTGGTAAATTTGATTTATTTTCGCAAAAACTACATTTGTACAAAACAGCTTTAATATTAGGCAAAAATGTACAGTGAAAAAACAGTTCGATGAACTTCAATAAAAAGTTCACATGAATGGGTGGATATCAGCATTGGCAGGCCTGAGTGCAGCACATCAGGTGTATCTTTACCACCACCTCAAGGACATAATGTGGATAAAATAACAGAAACTGTTCATAATATGATTACACATGACCACAAACTTTGGTGTCAATAGTTGCCATAAAATTAGACCAACACTTCTGGTCCCCATGAAAAGGAAACATTACAGCAGGTGTTTATGTTATTGTGTCTACCTCCTGTGGCCAAGGCATACAGGCCTATAAGTCAGTATAGGCCATACAATGCCAGGTTAGCCAGGAATTGTGTATTTTTTTGGTAATTTATGAGTAGTCTGAGCAAATAATTCAACAAGGTAGGTTAATTTCACATGAACCTACATCATTTTTAGCCAAAATACATTTCGTGACCTTGACAACATGGAAGATTTGTCTTTGAATTGCACTAAATTCATTGGTCCACATTGAAAAATACCATAATTTCCTTTCATTTCATGTCACAATTCTTCTGAAATGCCATTTATCCAACTCTTTAATGAGCACTTATTATTTTATTATTTTGTATTTTGTACACAAAGGCATGGGTAAAAGGCCTCATGCACTTTAAAAGCAGATATACCTCAGTGGGTAAGGTTGACTTCACTGGTGTAAAATCAGATCAACACCTTCACCTGTGGTGTGACTTAGTTGCTCTTCTTCTGGCTCTTTCTGCTGGGAGGCTCACTGAACTGAATCACGTTGAAATGTATAAAAGTTCCCAAAAAATGCAGGAAAGCTGTAGTAGATATTAAGACTGGGAACAAGTCGGGCAGATGGAGCGGAGCGATCAGAACTGCGGCTGCGATGCTCAGGCCAACCATGGCTGCAATGCTGATGTAGAACTGTAAGAGATAAAGGCAGTGTGATTGTTGGCTCATTGAAATGAGACTGGGAGTTACAAGACCATGCAAAATGCTGATATCATAATAAACAGCACAGAGCCTCAGAAAAAACTGTGGATTACGTGCTGCTTTACAACATAAAAGAAAGCATCTCATGCTAGTCTAACAAAACAAGTTCACCTACTAAGTTAGTTACTTAGCCAGTGCCTTCATTTACACTGAAAACCTCTTTCAAGGTCCTTTATATTGTACGGTAAAGACCCTACAATATTAGAGTAAAAGATGAGTCTCTGTGAGCAAGCATTTGGAGGCAGTGGGAAGGAAAAATTCCCTTTTAACAGGAAGAAACCTCCAGCAGAACCAAGCAGGGGCAGCCACGTGTTGGGACCAGTTGGGGGGCCTGGAAACGGGACAAAAGACACTTATGTGAGGAAACAAGTGTAACTTTGTGCCTTTGGTCAAAGATGGGATCTCTGTGGCAGATAAGCAAAAATTTAAGAACTGATCAAAATGTTTGGAAAACATTTGTGGAGCTTGGCTTAAAAATATATTGCTGTGACACAAATATCTTTTACAGCTGTATTCATCAAAATAACAGCCTTTAGTCAAAATCTTTCATGTCGAGAACTCTTAAAATAAATTTAATAGTTATTAAATGAATTTTTTCATTTAGAAACTTGTAAAAACTGATTACCCCGGGCTATAAACAAACTGTTGACTTTACCCTTAACACTAACTATGCACATAACATCAAACTAGTAATTTAATTTAAAATAGAGCTCATATGACATTGAATATTTATAACTAAGTGACAGACATCAAATTAGTCACTTGAGAGGTGCTATAAAGAAACGAGGTCTGCAATATCATATTACAGCAAATTCGATTTTTTTTCTTCAAGGTATGGTCACTGCTTTTTATCTCGTTACAGATTTGCAAACAGATGTGATGGTGAGCGTCACATCATTCATCTATCTGCTTGCGGTTTATGACCCAAAGATCAGTCTGTGAGGTGCAGGAAGCACCTCGGGCCTGCCAACCGCCCAGCCGCCCAAAACCCATGAAACCTTATCCCCATCATTGGGGCTCGCTATTTATGCTGCTTGTGTAAATAAATATATCTAGGCAAACCTGTGTTAATGACACGTGCTATAAAAATACACCTTCTCCTAATCTCTGACACCCCACCAGTGCCCCTGTCGCTAAGGGGTCGGCAGAGAAGCCACTTCAGACGCTATGGAAACTTAAATAAGCGATAAATAATTCTTTGGTTGGCAGCAGCGTTCATCCCTGGACAGCTTACACAGCTTACACCAGCACATGATATTTATTTATACAGTCGGGCATGTCTTCTCACACAGTTGCAATTTAGGTCTAGTGCCACTGGGACCCTGATATCAGCACTCTTCTTACTACAAATGGATCATCTGTACATCCTCCACCCACTATGTAACAGAGAAAACATGTCTTTGTCTTTGTTTGCCAACTGCAAAGCCGAGCCTTTATTATAAGCAAGCACACAACATGAACGAAACCACACTTAAAAGATAAAGCGTTAAATCCAGCTAATGAAAAATTGTTCATATTGGGTTGTGCTGGAGTTTTACCTGCTTTTTCTTGTGCGAAATCTGTATTTAGGTCAAAGTCTAATTTAATCTGAATGACCTTTAATAACCTTTAGTAGCAACAAACTAAAACAGCGGCCATAATTATAAACGTTAACCCCATCTGTGGGACAGCACCACACACAGCCAAAATCAATGCTGTTTGACTTAACAAACTGACATTTACTAACTTTGATTTAATGTCTAGATTTTAATTCTTCACACTACTATTTAGTGCAACTGGTAACAGTGAATCATATTTTAATGAAATACGTGCATTCAAGCGATTTGTAACTATAACTGAAATGTGTGAGTGTGAAATATGTAGTGAACTAGAAGGTTGAAGAATCTTATTGGGATCTTCAGTGAGAAATCTGCACTGTAGCTACGTTACTGCAAACCGCTCTGAAACCCTCAGTGTAACCTGACATGCACCTGATATGGAAATGTAACTACACGTCACGTCGATGGAGCAGGCAACTATTTTGATTGACCTGTTCAGTACGATCAATTCCTCCAGTGCATTTTCGCATACGCAGTTTTTAAAAAAAAATTAGCGAAAGCATAACAATCATCGTCTCAATATAAAGAATAAGGACTGTCGCCATAGATGTGAGGGAATGTAGAAAGAAATGGAAAAACCTGAAAGAAAAATATGTCTACCTATGAAAAAAAATGGCCATAACAAAAAGTCAGGACCCAGGACTCAGGATCCAGCAGTTCATTTCTTTCTATTGAAACAAATGGACTGGACACGCTCACATGCTAATTAACACGTCACATTGCACAAACATAAATGCTGGCAACGATGTCGGTTACATTGTAGACTGCTTCACAGGCTTTACAAAGATTCCCTACAGGGGCCATCTAAATAAGCCTTACACTGGAAGAACCCCTAAGTGTACTCAAGTACAGTTCTTGAGTAAATGTGAAACAGTTACAAGATTTCATATATGCATGGTTTCTTTTGATGTGCAAACAAACAAATCAGTGAATATTTGGAACTATAATGTAAATTATTATAACAGCACTTCAATACTGACCTTCCATCTCACTATAAAGGCCAGGTCCATCTTCAGTACCCAATAAAACAGCTTGTTGTAAGCTCCCAGTCTCAGTTTATCCTCTGAACAGTGATCCAGTGCAGACAGTAAATAAATGCTGAAGAAGAGGAAGCCCAAAGAGGTCACAATGTAGGGCACCAGCAGGCCGTCCTTCAGGAACAAAGGAAGCATGCTGCACACAGAGACAGGAAAAGGACAAGCATAGCAGATTTTATTACATTTTAAGCCTGTCTGTCTGTTGTCATGGCAGAATCAGTTTCAACTACTGTAGCAGGACCTACTGCACACATAGCAATAGCAAAATATAGCTATGAAAATTCACAGGTGTGTAGTTCAGACCAAAATGAGCATCAAGTCTCTGGATGGTCCTGTTCCAATACACGAATACAAAGTGAAGAGCACCACGGGGCGACCGTGGCTCAGGGGGTTGGGAAGCGCATCTGTAACCGGAAGGTCGCCGGTTTGATCCCCGGGCTCTCTGTCCTGGTCGTTTACACTACCGCATACTGGTGTTGGCCAGAGGGACCGATGGCGCGATATGGCAGCCTCGCTTCTGTCAGTCTGCCCCAGGGCAGCTGTGGCTACAACCGTAGCTTGCCTCCACCAGTGTGTGAATGTGAGAGTGAATGAATAGTGGCATTGTAAAGCGCTTTGGGTGCCTTGAAAAGCGCTATATAAATCCAATCCATTATTATTATTAAAAGCACCCCCCAAGTCTCACATTCTTTTTCATTCTTGGCATCTTTGTATCTCTACAAACAAAAATATTTGCACCTGTATAAAGACAGAAAAGTTCTGAGGATGGGCATGAACTCACGCTGATGTCTTTGGTTAGTTCAATGTAATATAGCCCCAAAAGCAAGAATCACACGTGATTCTTATATCATGAAGATATTATAGCTATTGCCTTTACATGCAAGGTACAGCTGGACATTTATACACACAGTGTATAAATGTCCACATTTATACACACAGTGTATAAATAAATTGTACATTTATATTTATACATTTATACACACAGTGTATAAATGTGTGTATCAGAGGAGGAAGACAGGACGTCTTCCTCCTCTCACCCCGAACCAGTCGTGGCAGATGCTTGGCCCTCCCTGAGCCTGGTTCTGCTGGAGGTTTCTTCCTGTTAGAAGGGAGCTTTTCCTTCCCACAGTCACCAAGCGCTTGCTCGTAGCGTTCATCTGAGTCTTGGGGTTTTCTCTGTATTATGGTGACCTTACAATTCAAAGCAACTGTTCTCGTAAATTTGGTGCTATAGAAATAAAATGCAATTAAATTAAATTAAATTAAATTAAACTGAACTGAACTGAAATGAAAAGGGACAACATCAGATTTTTAAATGATTGTTAGAAAATAAATCAAGTTTGATCCTACAGCTGATGGAGAGCACGACAGTTTCATACCCATCAACATCATTAAGTTGAGTGCAAAGTTTGTTAAGTGCAGCAGTAAGCCAAACAGTTTTTATCCTGCAGGCCTGTATGTGCATGCATCTCCCAGGGAGAGATGGCTCTGTAATTCACGAGGAGCTTATCTTAGTTTAGTAGAGGAGCATGGGCAAGAACAACAGTTGACTCACAGTGAATCACACAACGCCCCAGCTTATAAAAACCTTTCCCCAGACAAAAAACTACTTATTCAGATTTGGACTCAAACAAAAAAACTTCTATTCAGTAGATAAATGTTTAACACTTCCTCCATTTACACTGACTGGCTGCATTCAGTGGCCGTAAAGTGGTCATGCTTGACCATCCATTCAGCCAGTTCTGCTAACAAAAGATGTATTTTTTTTCTTTTTTAAATTAGTCTGGAGAGGATGCAGATAATGTGAAAGTCCAAGGCAGACTGTACAGGGGAGCAGCTACAGAATGACCTCCTGTCCCTACACAACACACACTTAGACAGCAGGCATGCAGACTATGCAGTGTAATCCCCAGATATCCTTATACTAAACCACACGCACAACAATTAGTGCTGCCGGAAGAATTTAACAACAGCTGGTGAAAGTTAGATGGAGCATTTGCAGCACTACTTGTGTTTTCCATTCATGGTGCTTAGCTCCAACCCACACAGCACACCATTTAACTTTTCAGGTTAATTTTTTTATGTTTCTCATTAAATAAGAGATAGAAAACAAAGTAAAAGAAATGACAAGAAACAGCACCCAACAGCGGGACACCAGATTTATACGCAAGCAAATCAAACGGGACATGGGACATTTTAAAGCAATTATAATTGCTGAACTTTTTCCCATCATAAAAATGACTATAATTGCATAACTCTATTATCCATTATCCAAGTTGCAGTAAATAAGATTTAGAAACAAATCTAACAACAGATCGCCTGTTTTTATATGTTAATCTTCCAACCTTTGTGTGTTGTCAGTGATTTCAAAAGACTTTCCTTCTTACCTGAATGTCGAGGCCTGTAGGAACCAAAGGGCCATCAAGGGGAGGTCATTCAGCAGGAGACAGGCAGGCCTAGAAAAAGAAATTCAGATGAACTCAATATTAAATAGACTGCCGTGACTTTTGCGATTAGACAAGACTAGAGTGAAAAGAATATTAAAGCTACTGAGCTGATCAAACATCCACTTACAAGTATTTACAAGTCAGTCAGTATTTGCTGTACCACATTATTTCATTCGAGAATACATCTTTTACACTTTAGCTAAGTTTTCTATTTTCATTTGAAGAACTGCCAATGTTTTGCCAAGAAGTTGCAATGATACATTTATCATGTATCACACAGATGCGTCACATGCACATGCATCTGTGTTGATATGCGTTTAAGCCTGTTGCTAATTGAACTTGCTAGCTCGCTTCAGTGCAAGTTGTACACTCTGCTCAAAGGGGGGCACTTTCCATCAGTCCCCGATCCCATAATTACAGTCAGTGCTCTTCGGTGATCCTGTTACAGCCCAATAATTGATCCTGCGCAAACAACACCCCGAGCTGCCGCCTACCATTCTTTCCTAATCCCTGGACATGTATTACTGATTGATTCAGGAGGACAGGTGGGAGATATAACTCAATAGTTAATAAAGCAACAATCTACCCTAATCTAGATTAATAGATGAGCCCAGATCTAGGAACCAAATCCCTCGCTGTCAAATCTATCCCAGGCTTTTCACCCGACCTACAGCTTTCTACATATGGAGGTAAAATGATAATGAAGCACACACACACACACACACACACACACACACACACACACACATCTCACTTCTTTTAGTGCTGCTTTCACCCTGTTAAATATGACCCAGCTCTGACACAGCACAAATCATGGCAGTGGAAGCAGGGTTCCTATCTGTGTTGACAGAGGTGAATAACTTCTCGGTACTTAAAAAGAAATCTGGGGGTACAGCAGGAGGATGACGTCATTTTTACAAAGCGAACATGATTTGAAACCATTAGAATTCTGTACGACATAATCTGAGATTTGACAAGGCGAATGGCTCCTTTGTGAGTAGAAATTAAATCTATACTCATGAATATTTCAGATATCGCTACAAGACAGAGAAAGTACCATTTACATTTGTCACTCAATGAGACAAACCTCAAGAAGTTACAATTATCTTCTTTGTACTTACAAGGCAGCCAAAAGGATGGACTTCTCATGGACTTGAAAGGAGAAGAGGAAGAACGCCAGGGATGAATTGACCTTAAAGTGACATTGGGGCTATCAGTAAAACTGCTATATTTAATATTACACTTTTTATTACAAAGGGAAGGAAGAGAAACATATTCGAGATCGTCTTCTCAAAAAAGAAACTGGGTTTGTTAAATTAAATATGATACTTATGTATGATAAACCTCACTGGCTTAAAAATGCTGAATGCCAAAAACACTCACCAAAGCCAGTTTAAAGTGCCAGAAGGTTGGTTTTGTTAATAGCCTGATACAGGAAGGTAGAACCGCCAGGAGAGTGCAGGCAAGACTGAAAAACAAATGAAGATGGAAGATGACGTTACTGAAGGAAAAACAAAACAGTATCACCGGTGCTATGTAGGCAATGTTATTCTCAATTGCATTTGCATGACATTTCAAGGTTTGTATGCAAGTCTTATGAACTGAGTGGACGTGGATGCATGGAAATGTTTTTCATGAAGACTTTCCTAATACATTATTTTACCAAGGCAACAAAATACATAAAAACAGCACGATTTGTTTTCATTAATTGGCACTGTATGAATATCAGCATTTAACTCTCAGTTCATGCCACAGTTCTTTTTAGACAGCCCTCTGATCTGTAACCAAGTTGTGTGCAGTGCCGTAATGGACCAAAATAATGGCCCCTGCTGAGGGTTACCAGGCAGTAACCCTCAATTGTCACCTTCTGGGGGTAGAAGCGTGAGAAAAAAAACGTGTTGGAGTCAGTGTGTATAAATGTGCTGAAAGGTCAGGCTGCGAGTTAGTTTGAGGTGTCAACTAACTAAACTACAAATCATAGAAGACAGAAAGAAGTGTACATGTACAATATACACAAGAGTAATGGCAGACCTGTAAGTGGATATTTATTGTGTATGAAAGCAAGTGTGCTACTCGTGTGCTATGTGTAGGGCATTTGCTGTCTGGATGGAGCTGTATGACTTTACACAGCTGATTCATTTTATGTACACCCACAGCAGAGCATTTAGCAATCCACCCTGTGCGCCATAAAGACAGCAGTGTTTTTCATTTGTTTCAAATGCACGACAGTAAAAGAAGTCTAACTTGATCCCCAGACTTAGCAGTCTGGCAGAAACGTGTCCGTGCTGCGAACGCAGGACTCCTAAATTTAGCGTGCTGGGTTATTTAAGCAGGCTCCACCACGACGCAACTGTTGCAAAAAGTTTTTCTAAGCGTGGCTGCACAGGACCCCAACTTTTGGTCAAGATAACTTCTAATGTATACGGAGAATCAGCTTCTCTTTCATACCTACATTAGAATTACATTTGCACACAAGATCCATAATTATGCTAAGACAAACAAAAAATAAAACCTCGCCGTCACATCGATTGAGTCTTTTCAATATTTCTCGGGTGTTTTAAAATGTTGTCACCACATTTTCAAAGAGATCAATGACTTTATGTTCAAAAGTTCCTCATGAGATGTAAGTGATGACCTTACTTCCAACTACTGGATCACTGTCTTTAAGCTTGGTTTTTTCAGGAAATGAAAGGAGTGAGAAAAAAATTAAACAAAGGGAGAGAGAGAGAGGAACTGTGTGTGTGTGTGGGGGGGGGGGGGGGTATAGCACAGTACAACAGAGAAAAGAAAACATAAAGTGAAACTTGTTAAACAGATAGAGGGATCACCTGAGGTAGAGCTGAGAGTCACCTGGCAAAATGGATCTGATCTTTATCAGGGTGTTCAGGCTGCACCATGTGTTGGCCACTTTATCCTGTATACACACACACACACAAACACACACCTTGGTCAAATAGAAAATGGCAGGAAACACAAAGAATTAATTGTTCTAAGAAATTATTCCTTCTCAGAAAGTGTAACAAAATTCCTCTGTGGGATGACGTTTATTCATAACCCTCCATCATACATTTTCTCTCCTGTCAGGAAAAGCATGGGGCTTATTTGTAACCTTGGGGTTTTGGGATCAAGTTTGATGAAGTCGATATATTAAGCCAATAACTTTCTTTGAATTCTATTTTCTGACAATAGCTGTTATCTTTTTGATTTGTTGCTTTGCTGATAAATGTCAGGCATTGGAAAAGTGAAGACATAATTTCGAGCATGAATGGATATTTTTAAACTATAATCCAAAATACGGCTATCAAATGTAAAATATATATATATCTGAAACAAAAAAGAAGTAGCAAATTCTCATTTTTGGGAGGCTGAATCCAGAGGAAGTTATGGAAAAAATAAGCATGTAAACATTTACATTATTTACTATTATCATTATTAATCAAAAGTCGTGCAATTTCTCATATTAGTGTCACTTTTGTTAATAATGTGCCTCATTTCTAAGATGACTGAAATTATATATACGATACAGTACACGGTATGCGTGAAGCTTCCTCTTTAATACCAGCTGAAAAGTACTTGCGGTTTAAAGCTGATATCAGATGAGGAGCTCATTGTGTGTGCTTCAGCTGATTTAAGTGCTTAAGCAGTTGTGCAGGGATATCGAGGCCAAAGCCACCAGTGTGCGCCATGATATCACACATCACAGAGGCTGTGGATGTTTTCACTGTGATTCTATCTAGAAAATCTATTTCTGGCCTCTTCCCTCTCTTCTGTTCTACAGCTGCTGGCTGCACAGCTGTGCCGATCTTAATGGCAAAGTAGTCAGCAGCACAGGGCCGTCCAGTGCTGTGTTTTCTCAGCCCAATCCCTCTGTCCTTCCTTTCTGGCTCATTGCTCCAAATAACTGTTACAGCAGTGCAGCAGGCAACACATGGATGTCAGGGTGGGCTGAGCGAGAGCGGTGCAGCCCCCTTCACCTATAAACTAGCATGGAATTTCACAGGGAGAAGCATTTGGTGCCATTTTTGTGTGCAGGCAGCAATGTGAGACGCCAGAATGCAGCTCAGTGGGTAAACTTACAACTGCTCCCTCACAGAAGCCACCGGGACCACCAGTCACCAGCCCTCTTCTTCCCCACCGCCCCTTCTCGCCCCGTCCCCTTGTCCGAGGCGTCTGCTTACGTGCACAATTTCCCAATTAGTTCAGGACAACTTGCCCCCAGCAGCCCCCTTCGTGCTGTCGTCACAGGCGAGCATAGTGTCTCTCACACCCTGTGTATTATGTTTGAACCATTTCGTTGAACAAATACTGCCGCGGTGCTCGATGCCAGCCGCTCCCCCGGCAGAATTTTCAATTACTTCTCACATCCGTGACACCTTATGGTGGGTTCCACCTCGGGAACCGGGACAAGAGGGGGTTACAGGGTTTCAGAAACGAGAGCCGCAAAGCTTGGCCTCCGAGCTGTCAGTCACACGCACGCAGTTACTTCAACTCAGCCGCTTTCATCACTCTGACTGCGGAGGTGTTTCAAGTATTCTTGTTCGCCATCATCACTTTCCTTTTTAATTAATATCATATTCCAGTGACCAGGCTATAAGTGGGTGACCACGGTATATCAAACATGTACGTTTGTTCTTGCAAAACAGTCAAACATACGCTTATGTGTCTGTTTTCCGAAGATGTAGTCAGTAGGTGAAAGCAGCTGTCCGACGTGCTCTGATATGCCTTCAAGTGTTGCGTCCACCAGACTCCTTGGTTCGTATGGCTAGAACATGGCTGTGCTACGAGGTGGCGAAAACAACCTGGTCATAAATTAGTGAGATTTATCTCTATCCTCCTACTGTACACCCCAAACCCCAACACCTCCCGGAGATAGAGTGAAACTGATCTCCTGACCTTTCACAGTTTTATTCCACTGTTTTCTTTGATCCTGCAGGGTATCTGTTTCCAAGCAGCTAAGCGCTAGTGGATGGAAGGGTATTTCGCCATGCTGTGAGTATGGAACCAGTGCAATAGCGGAGTAGTGCCGTGTGTTGTTTCTAACATTGGTAACAGCTTAATGCTCGAAACAGTAGAACAGTAAATCCTTTAATAGGAAACAGCATTTCACAGTAATTCTCAGCCCAAAGAGAAGTCGTTTACCAGTGATCATAAGATGTGAAGTTGCTGATATTGATCACAGTAATTTGCTTTGATAAAACAGAAACATAACTGCATCCACGTTGGCTTAACCCACAATGGAAATTTTTAAAGTCCAAATACATCCCTTTTTATTACATGGCACTGGTTGTACTTGGAATTGTATTATACTTGATTAAAATAATTGCTGTCTTCCCATTTTCAGTTAAAAAAACTCAATTCAAGATTAACACGGCTAGTATTCGTTTCAGCTCTATATTATTTATATAGTGCAAAATCACAACAACAGTAACCTCCCTACAATAATACTATTTTGGATAATTTTTTTTTTTTAGAACCAACCATTAATAAATGCATAAAGTAGGTTTTCAGCATCACTCTGTGACAGGATGTTTCGAATTTTAGAGATATTTTTGGAAAAATGCAAGAAAGCAGTCCTAAATATTTTTTAGTATGCACATTGAAGGACATATCCTGCTGAAAAACAGCTCCAAGATTCAGACCAAGGTAATACCGTCCACACTAGTTAGAAACCAAGTCTCTAAGATTTTTAGTAAAATAACCTCAGTTTTATCTGAATTTATAAAGAGAAATCTTTATGGATTTAAGATGTTCCTGCAGTTTAACGAATTAATGTGTGAGTTCTGGCTTGGATAGATAAAGTCAGGTATCATCTGCATAGCAATGAAAATGTATGCTATCATTTCTAATAACACTGCTTAAGAGAAGCAGGTATAGTGTAAATAGAATGCAGATGTTGTTATGACAAAAGCATACATGTTTTCTTTTTAATATTATGTTTGTCAGATGTGGTTTTTTGGTAAACCTTTGATTTAAGGAACTACACGTTACCTCAAACAGACCCCGAGCCACGGGAAAAATCCTCCTGACCACCTGCATGGCCTGGCTGGGTTCAGCCAGGAAGGGCAACCAGCAGAGGGCAAAAGTCGCCAACACTGTTACACCAACCCTCACCAGCAAGAAAAGCCTACATGAAAAGACAACCAGGAGAGTAAATAATCATATGTCATAAATAATGAACTAATGAAAACAAGCAATTACTAATACTTTCCCCACTTCCTATAATCACTTTCCCCCAGATGCTTTAGTATTTACTTTAAAATTGTCTGTGAAAACAGTTCACACATACTGTGTGCAAGTCCTAAATTTGGGCTTTGACCCTTGTGTTAAGGAATGCAGTGAAAGCCATGCATCAGCTGAAAGTGTTCAGTGTAGGTCAGGATATCTTGTCAGCTGTAACTGTGAAGCTGCTGGTTAAGTTGCACACACAGGCATAGCTGAGGAGTTTGGGCATGGCCAGAGTGTCATCTGGACATATCTTCCCCCCGGGCCTTCTAATCCAGCTCTCCATTTGCTACTAAATGCCCTTGGTACATTGTTACTAGATAAACAGACACTGGACACACTAGTAACAGCATCCAATCTGATTACCTCAGTCATTCTGTGACACTCCTGAGGACACTGCTATCTTATACACTGACATTACATATCTAGTGTGGGCATTCTGTTGAAACATATGTGCACAGTGATCACAGAGTACAAGCAACAAATGTAGACTTGAACATTCAGGATTTCACAGTCATCACTATAAGTCCTCCTGAGACATTTTGCGTTCGGCTCTAGTGAAGGGCATCACTGATCGCAGCGTGTGGGGGAAAGGCAAGTATGCACACATATATATAAATGCGATCCACCTGTAAACTGGAAAGCCAAAGAGTCTTCTGTGTTACCTTATTTGATTGCTTTTTAAGTTTAATGAACAAAAGTACAGTGCTCAACAAATTTATTAAATCACCTGTTTAAAACTAAAAGAAATATATTGTTACTTATTAGGAAAACAACAAACTACATACAGGTTTTTATACCCAAATTTGAGCCGGCACTTTGAACTTCTCTAAGAATTTAGAAATTAATCAAGTGTAACATTCAAAAACTGAAACTTATCTTTCTCGTGAGTAATGTCAATGAGTAAGTGTAATTTGGCATATTAATCAAAATACAATAATGTGCTTTTTCTGCGGTCACAACGACCGAGACCGACAGACTCGGTCGTTGTGTCCTTGGGCAAGACACTTCACCCGTTGCCTACTGGTGGTGGTCAGAGGGCCCGGTGGGGCCAGTGTCTGGCAGCCTCGCCTCTGTCAGTGCGCCCAAGGGTGGCTAATGTGTGTGTGAATGGGTGGATGACTGGATGTGTAAAGTGCTTTGGGGTCCTTAGGGACTAGTAAAGCGCTATATAAATATAGGCCATTTACCAAAGGGCTTGCACATGTTCTAGAGAAAAAAATGTTTTGGTAATTACCAATACTGTTAATTTTGGGCAGCTATGACATAAACCTTACATCTAAAAAAATTGTTAAGCACCGTAAATACAATCCCAGTAAACAATATTGGGATTTTTTGTTTGTTTGTTTTTAAATGCTGTTGCTTTTCTTCCACATAGTAGCACTGTGAACTTTATGTTACCACCAGCACGCTAAAATGCTTACCAGTGTTGTGCTTAAAATTGATTGTCTTCCAAAAAGTAATTTACGATATTTGACATAAAACAATTCCCCATAACTGCTGTAAATAACTTGTTGGGCTTTGATCTGTCAAACATATCACTTATTAATGATATCAAGCCATTTTGAGCCAGAAAGAACAGTCTCGTTACAAGATAGAAGCTAAAACCAGTTTCACCCTTAAATATTTTTTAAGAGAGATCTGGCCAAGAGGGCAGCAGATACTGCAACAAAAATAACATCACAGCTCTACCGAGACATTTTAAGTGGCCCAAAAAGACTGGACTGATTATAATGCAGGTACAAAAATTAAAAGTCACAAGTATACCCGTACAAAACAGGACATTTCTTTATTTTATATGTAACCCTTTCAGAAAATCCTGTTGATAACAGGCTGTTTACCAACATAAGGAAATGTATTACACATAGAAAACACCTAAAAATATTGGAAATTGCTTTAATGCACAACACTGGGATTTGTTAAGTAACCATTCTCATCATTTTAGCTCACAGTATTTGAATCATACTATTATTATTTTTTTGCCTGTCCTGTCTGGCACTGTAGCAATCAGAATTATTGTCTGAAGGCCAAGAAAAATGGACCCCAAGTGGACCCTTGAATCATACTAAGAATCATACTATTATCTAATCAGTGCTAAAATTGTGGGTGAGGTTGGAGATGAACATCTGGACTATGCGTCAGTGCAAAAAACAATCATCTTCATTATGGAAGGAAATAATAAGACTCACCCTCGGCCCATCAGGCCCGTTTTGATGCACTTTCCCAGAAGGTAACAGAAGAAAGGCAAAGCATGGTACAGCTCCATCTGTTTGTAGTTGAGAGCCAGAGAGAAAGCCATGGAGCCCAACACATCCCAGCCCAGACCCAAAGCCAGAATCCCCCACAGGGCAAAACCCAGGCTCACTCCGTTGTACCTGATACCGTTAAGGTTAATTTTGGTCTGGAAGGGCAATTTTCTGGAGCTAAACAACTTAATGTTGCAGATGTATAACAAGCGATCCAGAAAATAGCTGCTGATCCTAAGGTCAGTTCTGCTGCATAGTGTGCACATCGTCAGCTTTTCATTGTTGTATTTGGCAGTGGCTGAATAACAATAATAACAGCCTGGTTAGCTGGTGCGCTCTTCATCTCTTCAAACTGTTTTTGTAAATCTATTGTTTTAAGCCAGAACAACAAATGTTTTTAATCCTATTGAACCTACTGTATGTAGGAAATCTGAATAGTAAAGAAGGCAGAAATTCCACATTCATCCTAGGATCAGCTGTTCAGCGTTTCCATAGATATGCTGTGGTGCTAAATCTGCCCCATGGGACAAGCTGTGTTTTTTTTGTCTTTTTTTTTAAGTTATGTTACGTAAGTCAGTAAAATAAATGTATATTTTTATGTTGTTAAAATATTTTAAATGCTTAAATCTCTGTTTCTCAGTGAACTAAACTCAAAAGATGCTGCAAATATATACAGTGTTAAAAAAAATGAAAGAAACACTTTTTAATCAGAGTACAGCATCAAATCAGTTAAACGTCTGGGATATTGATCTGGTCAGTTAAGTAGAAGAGGGGTTGTTAATTCAGCTGCTTTAGTGTTAATGAAATTAACAACAGGTGCACTAGAGGGGCAACAATGAGACAACCCCAAAAACAGGAAAGGTTTTACAGGTCACTGAGATTATTTTTTCCCCTAGTTTTGTATGTGCCTAGGGACAGTATCACTACTCGCAGCCTGAGGTGATACCTGGACCCTACAGAGGTTGCACAAGTAGTCCAAGTCCTGCAGGACAGCACATCAATGACATAAGGTTTGCTGCCTCCCAGCACAGTCTCAAGAGCATGGAGGAGATTCCAGGAGACAGGCAGTTACTCTAGGAGAGCTGGACAGCACCGTAGGTCCTTAACCGACCAGCAGGGCCAGTGTCTGCTCCTTTGTGCAAGGAGCACAAATTTCACTCCTAACACATGACCCAGTCCATATCAGTTATAGATATCCAGCATGATCTTTTCCCATTGAGATTTGATCTGTTTTAGAGCAGTGCATTTAAATATAACTCACTACACTTTATTATGATTGGAGCTTTCAAGTGTGATACCTTTGTAGGTCATTATTTCATATTACATTCAATTTAATTACATTCAGGACAACCTTAATGGTACATATAATATACAAGAATACAATTTATAATAGGAATGCACGTGTGCATAAAGGATACTGGAAATGTCCGTAGTCAATGAGAATTAATCCTGGGTACAGTAGAAAGCAGAACATAACGGAAACCTAAAAAGGGAAAAGGACAGACATTTTAATTCAACGCAGCAGTAAAAACACAACCTTTTAAAATCAAATCCTGTGAGAAGCTTGTTTAACTACAATTCCTCTTTCACTGTTTGATAACATAAGACACCGTCAAAACATTAGAAATGATCCCTTCAAATTGACTGCACTGTAAATGTATGAAGACCAGCTGAACTGTAATAACTTCTTGGAAATGTAATAACATCATATAACCAGATTAACTTACAATAATGACGCCATAATTTCCCAATTTGGAGGTCTAGTGCTGTAATCTGTTTTAATAAGGGTGGGTTCCCAGACTGAGAGAAAATGGGCTGGTCTGGGTCTTTAACTGAAAACTAATCATTTCATGCTCAGCTCGTCTCTGACCTTTTTCTTAGAGGATCCATCAGTCAGGTATAAACAGTATAAAACCACTGCAGGGATGTATATCAACAAATCTGCAACTAACACTGAAACAAAAAGAAAAAAATACAGACTGCATGATCTCAAATTTACGTTATACAAAGTAACAGAAAAGGTCCATGGGTATACAATGATGTGAATGATTACAGTGATTTGGGCATAATATCTAAGCAGGTATAACCACAAACATTGCTGTAAATATGAAGTAGACATGGATTATGAATGCTTTTCTTTTTCTTTCACCTCTCATAGTTACAGTACCTGTAGTTCTCATGAATAGCTTGTGCTGTGTACTTTCATAACCTCTGGACTTGTGGAGTTCCACCCATTCAGGGTTTATTGTTTTGGCTCTGCAGAAACAACAAAGCATGTATTTTGATTTTTTTTTTTCTTTTTCCTTACAGAAAATGTACAAATACTTAACTTTATTGGTTCCTAAAAGTGGGCAGCTGTGTTATTACATCACTATACCTTAACATTTCTCCCATGGTATGCTCACTCTTGTTCTGTCTCTCTCCTAAATTAACATTCAAATATTATGTGAAAGATCCTTTTAAATAATCCAAATGGCTTACAGATAAGCACAGATCCAGCTGTGGTAAGCAGTGAGGGGAGGATAGTCAAGACCCCAGTAGTTCAAGTCATTGTTTGTAGTATTGAAGTACCTGGGGGAGCAGAAAGGGCACATAGTTTCATCAACAAAACTGTTTCATACTACATAAGCAATGTAGCGTGTACTGTATATAGGAAAAACTGTTGTTGATGTTATCCGTATTTAATGTTTCGCACATCAATCCATCTCAAACTTGTAAGCTGGACACAAGAGCAGGAACAGCACATGTCAGTAATGTGCGTCTTGAGTGTCACAGTACATTTCTCAAATCCATGACCTGTAATAAGACCCAGTTACTACAAACAGGTCCTGTGAATAAACACCGGGAGGTGCTAGACTGACCATTCCTGAATGGGGAGGTTGTAGGTCACTTCTTGCCAGTGCCTCTGAGCTTCATAATCGCCGAACATGGGAGGTTTCCCCGCCCCTGGTGGAAAATCATTGAGCCGTTAGTGTGAATACTATGAAGCTTGCATCATGAACGAATGGCCACCACACAACACACCCGCGCTAACACGTTTTTAAATCACTGAGTGGACGCTAACTACCGAAAGAGTCACTCTGATACGTTTAAAACAATTTGAAAGCATTGTTTTGACTAGTATAAACAGCACTGTACCAAGGGAAAGTAGTGTTTAAACGCCGACCTCCACAATTTTCCTACCTGAATATGAATTTAGCGAAACTCCCCATCTCGCAATAATGGAAAGCAACACGCAAATTGATACGAGACTCCACGTCTGCATAGCTTTACTCGGTAAAATGAGGATTTGTGGAAGAAATAAACAATAAAAATCGGTACATTGAAACACTTTTGAAATCTGTTTCGCTTCCTGTATACGTCACTTACCGAGTCTTCGTTTCAACTACTCATTGGTCGCTGGATTTCTGACGTTGCGACCGACAGTTATGATGCGTTCATGAATACTATGGAAATAATTGACATCTTCACTTTTGTCGATCATTCGTTCAGTTGTTGCAGTAATCAAACGCGTTTTAATAATCCAGTTTCAGATCATCCAAGACCTTTTTTAACACGTGACAGGAAGTTTTTTTGGTATATTACTCTCACAGTTTGTGCTCACTTGTTAGAAGTTACAAGTCGAATAATGTATTCTAAATTTCCCAGGCACAGTGAAGGCATCTCTGAAAAAAGATTTATGATGGGTATTATGCATTATTAAAGATTTATTTCTTCCGTATTTTCGCTTTTTTTTTTGCAGCTGATGCTGAATTTGGAGGTTAGAGGCCGCCTGGTAATAAATGAACACTCCTAAGATTGCTTAATAACATGGGTTGGGGGGGCGAGGCTGACTGCATAGGCATTAGGCAACTCCAGGCCTCCAGTGCTGGTGTCCTGCAGGTTTTAGATGTGTCCATTATCCAATACAGCTGATTCATAACAATCATAATCAGGAATATGAATTTGTCAATTCCAATAGTCTACAATATCCACATAACATGATTACATTTATAATGAAAAACATTTTAAAATTTCTTATCAATATAAATATGACTATGAAACATTTTTGAAATCTCAAATTATATCCAAGAAAGTAAAAACATAATAATACTATACAGTTTATAATATATTTAGTTGTTTTCTGCAAATTTGGAGGTACGTGGAAGCAGAACAAACAAATTGGCAGATAAAATGGATGCACATGGAATCAATAAGTTTGGACATTAAAGAAGCAAGCATCCATGCCAAACTGGAAATTGTTGCTGTCATAACAAATGCTTAATTCTAAGTCTTTGCAAATAGCTCAGGAACAGCTGATTTCACAAAATTTATATCAAAGTGACAGAGAAAAATCCACTATATAATCAGCAGCAGAGGGGCGACAGTCTAACTAGTGTATTAGTTTGTGTTAATCTTCTGTACACAGATGTAGATATGGGTATCACATCCTTACCTTGTCTTCCCTGCACACTGTAGGCTAAATCCAAGCCAGAGGGCGTCTTTCTCTTTGTGACCTTTTCTTTTGTTGACACCATCATCTTTGTTCTCAAGGTGTTAGGGTTTGTTGGATGAGACATGTTCCTTGTGGTTCTGGCATCAATTATGCATAAATAATAATAACCTCGGACAACTGCTGATTTGCAATGACACTTTCATTACAACAGCAGCAGCCTATAACTCACTGGTACCCATTAGTTATTAATGCCCAGCCACGCCAGCTTTACTTTGTCATTTATTGCTTCATCTCTATGCCTTTTTAAATATTCAGCAACTGCTGTACCTACATTTACTGTCTGTAATCTCCGCCCAGGAGAAGGCTATAGCTTGTGGTGCAGGATGACCTAGTTATTATTAAAGGCCTAGGCCTTGCTTCCCAATGTCACTAAAGTCTATCATGTCAACAGTCATGTTTGCTACAGCAAGTCAAGCCGGATCAACAAATCCAGAACTTCATAGAGATTTCTCCTATTATGTCTTATTTGGGAATTGTGATGATAAAGAAGTCCTGCACCTTTTCAGATTCATTCTTGAGTGCATAATTAATTGCCATTTGGAAAAATCCTGCACTATTTGTGTGCACTTAATAGCATTTCAATTCTGTGCTAGGCTTTGAAAGCCTACGTCCAGAGGGGTGTTGTATCAGTCTGGTTCAGTCTTTCAGTTATACTTGGCAGTCACTCTCTGAAACAAAGGTCATGGTTTGCACTTTAACAGCTTACTTTGAACAATATCATCACCCAGATGTTTAATGTTCTGCATGGATCAGAGACTTCTCTGGTATGTTAAAGACACATCCACCCTCATAGGGTCCTGCAAAATGTGGAATTTTGGCTTCTGAGATTGCAGCATCATTACACTCTTAAACACTAAATTTGTGTACTTGGACAAGACAGATAAAAACTAAATGCAAATGAAGTTCAACAGCCATTTTTGCCTTTCGGTGGGACAGAAAGGAGGATTTAAATGGGCTCATGAGCTCTAACAAGCCTCAGTGCAAGTGGACAAATCACTATTATATATTCCTGTGCAACTGTTTACTTGGGTTTCAGTGAATGGACAAATTGAACTATTTTTCATGCATCATTGTTTGCAGTGATGTCATTTCCCAACCTGCTACAGGATGTTTTTGTTTTACTTTAGCATCCCACAGTTTGTGCATGGGCTTGAGTCCCAAACCTGAAAGCTAAAACTCATACAGAGTTACAGATGACTATACACTGCTCTAGCAGCTAATATTGATCACGCATAAGCAGCATAGTGTAACATCAGTCATTGTAATTTTTTGGTTTTAAAGGTTGTACTGTGAAAAATAAAGTACATTATGTTGGATATTAATTCAATTTCTCTATAAAATATTCCTTCTTAATCTACCTCACGCACTTTGAACTTAAGAGTTGTAGCAACTTCAACGGGCAGTGATAATTTCTCTCTTTCAGTTTTCTGTGTATAGGTCTTCAGATTCCCCCCCACCACCACCACCACCTTTTACGTTTTTTTTCTTCACACAGGACAGCACAAACGTATGTCTAACACAAAAGAGATCCAAGTAAAAATAAAAAAAAATGTTATGTTTTGTTTTTTGTTTTTCCCGATAATCTAACTTTAGGTTCAAAAAGAGCTGTGACCTCTTTTTATTTCACGAATGCTGACTGGACACATTTATGCATTGATAATATACTAAAAAAAGGATTTGTTACCTATCATAGCCACAAGCACAATCAGCACTAAAAAACAAAACAAAAATACAAAAAAAAAAAAAAAACTACATAAACTCTTTCCGCTCAGGAGGTATGGAGGTAAAACAAGTCAGGAATCACAGAGAGAGAGAGAGGGGCGGGAGAGCGAGCTGTATTTACAGATTGTGCTTGGATACTAATATAGCCTGTCTGGTGGAGCTGTGGGAACTACAACCCAGGCTTTTCTCCACCTGTGCACAAGCACGTGCAGCTGCATGGCTCATTATCGTGTGCGCCCGTGCGGGCGGGCGCGCGAGCGTCTATAAATGAGCGTCTTCGTTCGTTTAGCAAATTGTGCGCCATAGTTTGCACCATAATTACACGAAACTGCGCTTGGTTTTGATGAAACAACAAGTAAGAAATAACTTTAAGCTAACGTAGCATAATTTTAATAATAGTAATAATAATATTAATAATAGCCATTAACTCTGTTATTGTTATTATTGCACTGGCTTACCCTTTAAGTAGGCCCGTGCTGCTAGAAATCTTGTTCATGCCTGTATTTGCAGCACTGCAGCTTCGGTTCAGGAATTTAACAAAAGCTTTGCTTTCGGTGTTTCCTCTCTGTGTTGTATCTTAAATATTAACACAATTAACGTTACCAATTTTAGCTTAAAGGGAAAAAAACCACTTGCAGATACTCTGCTACAATGTTACTACAAACTACAAAAATAATGGTAAATGGTAAAACATCACTTATGATCTAAAATCAAATTTGCAGTTAGATTACTCGGATAAATTTGTCCAGCAGGAAGTGTGTGTGTGCAAAGAAGAAAGAAAATTAGGTGGAAAATGTTGATGTATTATTTCAGGTTTTCACAAATATTTATTTTATTTATGATCACCCTAATTAAGAGCCGCAGGTGTATGTTGACGCCCCCTAGCGGCATGGATGTCACGGCCTCAAGGTGTTGTCAGCCTGCAACATCGCTCCTGTTGCAAGATCTCACACCCGGGCTTCACACTGCAACACTGCAAGTGTAATTATAGATGCTCGCATCCTATAAGACAGACGCGCGAGGCTGGTTTAATGTTGCTTTGTGGAGTCTGAATCCCCGCTCGTAGCCATGTACACACGTCACACAAGAAATAAATTAGAGGTTTAAATAAACAGGTTCAACAAGTGCAAGTTTGAGTCTTTTTGGTATTTAAAATTTGATGCTTTTTCTGAATATTTCTGCATCCCCCAAAATTTCACTCACCTTTCTCTAACTGTACTCTTTAGCCATCACTTCATTGTAGAGCCTGCTATATTTAATGCCTTGTCATTTTATAATCGTATGATCGAATGGCAAGGGAAAAAAATGGCAGAAATGATCAGAAATCTATTACGGGCAGTGCAATGCAGACAATGTCTCACATTTTAATTTATATATAATTTTTATGTTTCAGTAGATAAATAATCAAAGACTGGTCTTTAAAATAATAACATCACAGTCACTGCTGTAGGTAATTTGAATGATATCAATAGTCTGAATAATAATGAATTTAGTAAGTAGAAATGTCACGGTGACATTGGAGAAGACTTTTGCATCATCAGCACCTTCTTCGGTGTCTGAAAGTGAATTGGAGCGGAGAGAGAGGCCTTTTTCTCTTTCCCATGGGGATCAGATAAATATAGCCCCTAAAACCCCTCGCGCTCACCCTCTTTCTCTCTCTCTCTCTCTCTCTCTCTCACACACACACACACACACACACACACACACACACACACACACATTTACACATTCACACTCTCGCTTTCATATGCACACACGCACACCACTTGCTGTTTGTGTAAAAGTGATTAGCCAGACACAACTGCGAAATTGTTACCTTTATAGGAGCCAAGCCACAGAATATCGCGCAAAAGCATACAGCGTGTGATGTAATGGTGAACCTGTGGTCTAAACTGTAACCTCCTGTCAGGGAGCATTGTCAGGAAATTCCAGGGTAAATACTTTAATAAAGGGCTACACCGATTTGTGCTCAATATTCACCTCTTTATGCCACATCCCATCATCTGAAATATGATACAAATTAGATGTATGCCTTCCTGCAAAAAGCATAAATATAAAGTAGGCATACGCGCAAATTTTCAGGATTGAATTTACTCTATAGCAAGCTAATCTCAAAGCTTTTACAAGTTTTTTTAATTTTTATTTTAAAATTTACGATTACATATTATTCATACACCTTTGTCAGTATTTTTAGTTATTCTTATTTGCATACTATTGTTAAATTGTAACTTTAAATATGTTTTTAAACGCTACCACGTCAATCGCAACAGCAGTAAAAAAATATATTTTGTTAAATTCTAATCCTTAGGAAGTGTAAAGTAAAGTGTAAAGTATAACTAATTTTTTTCTATTTCAATTTCTAAATAATGAAATACTTTGAATTATGCTGATAAAATGAAACATTGAAAGTAATGTTAAAGACATATATGTTATATATTATTATTATTAATAATAATATTTTATATATTCGATATTTTTAAGCCTGAAAACAGACAACAAAATAAGACAGCTTCGATTTTTTTGTGTAGTAATATTAATAATGTATGCTTTACACGAACTGTGAAGTTATTCAAATTAAATTTACTATTTTTTTATTTTTACCGTGAAAAATGTTCCCTTGAAATAATGCGATTTTTTTTTCTCAAATCACGTGTCAAAAATGTTAAAAATGTTAATAATGAAAATTGATTTTTAATTCTTTCTTAGATTTATTTACAAATAAATTCAGTTTACAACACAATATAGCTACATAGAATTACATATATTTGTATTTTTTTAAAATTATTATTATAAACAGTCTCTTTTTTTCCAGAGGTTTTGTGTCTTGTATGAAAAAGAAGCCAAAGTAACTATGTCCAGTTGAGCTTCTGTTACAAAAGGAAAGGAGAAAAAAACACGTAAAATAATTACCACAGATCTCAAACAGGAACAAAGGGGAGAAAGGAACAGGTAAAAGTCAAACTGGCAAAATCATTTGTCTTTTTTTATACAAATATTTACAAATATTACCTGTACAGAAAAAAATCTTCTTTTTCGTTTTTTGTTCTCTGTTTTTCAACAGTCTTTACATGGCTTTACAGTCCAGTGCTGCCTATAAATTTGTGCTTTTCACACTTCCCAGTAATAATGTCTCTATATAAAAATAAGAGTTTGCTTTCTCTTCGGTTTGAAGTCATTGTGAAGGCCATTTGGACACTGCCGCCGCCGTCGCTGAGGGTAAAACGTGTCCAGAAATAATATTTGAAGGTACACTGAGGATGGGCGCGATAGCGGCTGAGGTCCGTGTCAGAGAGAGGGACTGCGCGCTCAGCAGGGCCGACTGGACGGTCACAGGAGGCCGCAGGAAAGCCTGAGCTGCGCCCGGCGAGGAAGAGGAGGCACTGGACACCCCGATTATATTTTCTATACTGAATGAAGGTCTGTTTGAAGGCTCTGATTTGATCATAGACGCCGTGCTGAGACTACTGAGTTGAAGCTGAAGGCTCGGGCTGAGCTGAGAGTTGAACGCTTTTCTGTTTAGCTCCGCCGAGGGCAGGAGAGGGACGCCCGGGGGCAGCATGGGACCTACAGGGGGGATGTACGGGTACTGCAAAGCAGCCGGATGGGAATACGCCGCCGGGTGGATACCGTAGTGTCTCCCGTAGGGCCCTCCAAGACTGTACGCCCCGAAACTTTGCATCATGAGAGCAGTCTGGTCCCTGAGCACATCTGGCTGAACTCTCTTGAACCTTTTCCTCCTCCTGAGGAAGCTGCCGTTGTCGAACATGTCCTCTGAAGCGGGGTCCATGGTCCAGTAGTTGCCCTTGCCGGGGTTACCAGGTTCCCGAGGGATTTTTATGAAGCAGTCGTTGAGAGACAAGTTGTGACGGATGGAGTTTTGCCACGCCGGGAACTTCTCACGGTAATAAGGGAAGCGGTTGCTGATGAATTCGCAGATCCCGCTGAGGGTGAGCTTTTTCTGCGGGCTTTGCAGGATAGCCATGGTGATAAGTGCGATGTAGGAGTAAGGCGGCTTTACCAGGCTACTCTTGGGCTTCTGGATCGCACCTGGCGCTGCGCTCTGGTCGTGACCCTCTCCTTTTCCGGTGCCCGATTCTGCCTCCCCGGCGCTCTCGCAGCACGGACTCCCTACCCCGGACGTCATCTCCTCTTTCTCCACCTCGATCTCGTCTTCCACCTCCTCGTCTCCCGTTTCCCCCCGGAGGTCGTGCAAGATGCCGTCTCCTGGGCTGTCGCAGTCGCTGTCCACCCTCTCCATGCCCTCCTCATCTCCCTCGCCCACTACGTCAATATCCACGTCCTCGGCTGTGAGCACAGTTTGGCCGGACATGTCGCTGGCTCGTTCGCTGCCTCCAGACAGGGTCATCTCACGTCTTACTGACACCGTTTTATTTTTTTTTATTATTAAAAAAGTCTCACTGCAGCCGAAAAAGACAGAGCAGCCGCGCGATCAGTGCGCTCGCGCTGCTGGTTGTCAACAGATCGGATGCTTTCCCCTCCCCAAAAATCTAAATGTGATCGAACCGGACGCCTGCCAGTCCAGCCGACAAGGAACTTCAAACTTCTACAAATATTTCTCCACTCGGTCAGTGAGCAGGCCCGGGGAGCAGCACGTCTCGCCTAGAAGTTGTTTTGCAGACAGCGCGACTTTTGCGCTCCGACGTCCCTTCTCGGTGCTTAGATTTCCTGGACGAGCGATATTTGGAGAACCGAGCCGAGATGACACATGCTGCTCTTAAAAAGGCCGGGGCTTTTAACAAGACTGTCTGATAGATTACTTTCCCTCCCCACTATAAGATATACTATCAGCGCTGGACACGTGGTTTGGTGACGACAGACGCCCCCCTGTCCTCTCTCCACTCTCCTCTCCTCCCTCCACCCACCTCTCCTCTCCTCTCTGTTAAACCATGCAAACTGGAGTTGTTTCATGGATTTGTCAACAATGGGACATCAGCAGTGCTGCTTTCCGCTTATTTTTGTGTTCGTCCGTCATAGACCATTTAACGGTGGCAGAGGGAGGAGGAAGAGGAGGAGGGGGAGAAAATTGGCTCGCGTGATTGAAAGATCTGACGCGCAATAATGTGACCGCGTTAAAAAACAAACCAAAGCTTTAACTTTGCTAACGCGAACTCTGCTGACAGCTGCAGAATGAAAACGACAACAGCTAAGTTAACGGAATCTTCCTTCAAGTTCATGAATGTATTGACTTCTATATATATATATATAGAAGCTGTTTAATTGTGCATGCGTAGTTTATTTTTAATCCCCACACTTTATTTTAGCGTAGAGTCCGTGCATGTAACTCTCCTTGAAAGGATACGTTAGACATGTTTTTTTTAATTGATATTTTTGCTTGCTCTGTTCATTCGGTGCTGGAATTGCATGCCTCGGTGCTCCCAGCTTTAAAGCCCGGTCGCGTAAATCCAAGCAGCGAATGCAAAGCATGAATTCCAGTCTATTTATTCCCGCAGGATTTAGCCGAGGTGGGAAGAATATTGAAGAAGCGGCAGCAGCGACGATGAATGGGACGAATGCAGAATTTCCTTCAGAGTTTGGAAGAGGTGCTA